GTCATTGTAATACTTTTGGGGCATCTGCTGTTATGCATATCTTGTTGTGGATTTGGCATGTTTCCAAAGGCATGTTCCTTATTTTTATTGATACTGCAAATCATCAGATCATGTCATTTGGTTTTTTAATCAAAAGATTGAGCCATGGGGGCCTGGGCTTTTGGGTGTCACCACTATCCTATGGGCAGCGTGCATTTTCTGTTAACGAATTTTCTGCCCACAAGTGGAAGGTGGTGAGCTAATAAACATGCTTTATGTAGCTTTTGTTGCTTACATATGAGAAAGATCAACAGTAAAATTTTGTGAAATCTGCTATTGAAACAACTCAGTAGGCTACTGTTCTCCATTTGCATAGTCTACCTGATGATGATCATTGGTACTGGGTTGGAATTGAGGCTTTGCTACTTTATGCATTTCTTTTCAACAACAGTCCTGACAATGGTCTGGCCTACCTTCACGTAAGTAAAGGGAGGAGATTATTACCCCTCTATTTTTATCAATGAATGTTTTGTTTTGGAATAATTACTGAAGGAAATGTACTTATTTGTTTTTGCATCATACTCTTCGAAAAGCCCCAACAATAATTCCACTAGATGCCACAAAGAAAATTCTACAGAGAGGATTGTTAGTCATCTTCATCTTCTTTAATCGATGTTTATTTGTTTTATGCAGTGGTAGCTTCTTTATTAGTCATCCTAACAAAAAGGTTTTTAATCATTTATTCTCATCTGATTATTCAGTGGCCAGTAAGAGTTGATGAAATACACATCTGCTGAGAGGAGGTTTTAAGAAAAAAGGATGATTCTGCCATTTCACACACCTTAATAGTGAGTTTCCATAATGTCAATTACTCTGTGGATATGCCCAAGGTGTGTTTTCATAGCCGTTTATATTTCCTTGACTGTGTGTCCATCTAATTTACTTATATATTATTTTTCTTTTTCCTTGCGGGTTTTCTCAGGCAATGAGTTTGGAAGGTGAACCAACAAATAAGCTCCAGCTCTTATCAAATGTAGTGGAGTATTCTACCAGTGTTCTACCGCATTAGTTGGGTAGTGGAGCAGGAAGACCACGTTTAATGGATGTGCTGCTGGTGAAAAAACTGGTGGTTACATAGAAGGGGATATTAGAATATCAGGTTATCCAAAAAGCAACGAACATTTGCTAGATTTCAGGGTAGTTGTTAACAAATGATAGACATTCTCCTCAGGTGACAGTTGATGGAGTCCCTGTGGTCTCTTCTTGTCTTCGTTTGCCAAAGGAGTTAGCAAAGATCAAAGAAATGTAGCTGCATACAAATTGGTATGTTTACTATATCTTAGATGACTTGTTTTTACACTGATTTCACTACACCTACTGCAGGTGTTTGTTGAAGAGTAATGGATTAGTAGAGCTTGATTCTTTAAGGCATGCTTTGATTGGTTTGGCCAGATAGTTCTGGTTTAACAACCGAACAAAGAAAACGCTTAACAATCAGTGGAACTTGTTGCAAATCTTCTATTATTTTATGGATGAACCACATCTGGACTTGAGACAGAGCGGCAGCCATTGTGAGGCAACTGTTCGTAATACTGTTGATACTGGACGAACCGTAGTTTGCACAACATCAACCAATGAGCATTTATGATATTGGTTCAGCTTATATCTTGTATGCAACTCTCTTATTTTATTTTATTTCATGAAAAGCTTGTGTTCCATGCACAGCTGCTGCTTATGAAACAATGAGGCGTGTATTATAACGGAGGGAATCTTGGGATAAACTCAAAGACTGCGTATAGATATTTGCAGTTGAATTCATTTGCTAGTTTTTGGGTCACAACTTCAATTTATTTCCTCATTTGCTCAAGTCACTGATAACAAAATTATTTAACCAAGCTATTCTTTTGTGGATATTTGAGGTTTGATTCCTAAAATCAGTATCCTGACTCTGGTTTAGTGTGTGCGAACTTTGTCCTGACACTCTTTTTCCTGTTTAGGGGTTCATGGAGTTGCTCAATTCCATGTGGCTACAATCCAGCACTTGATGTTTGACGTTACTACTCCTGCTGTTGAAGAAAAATAGGAGTAGACTTTGCAGATTATACAAAAACTCTGAGCAATCAGGTGATTTATTGATATTATTTCCAACCAAGATGTGCTTCCACCAAAAAAATTATTTCTTCTATGGAATTTTTTTTTTTTCTTGGATATTGATTTTAATTTACTGCAGGGAAGTAGAATCTTCCATTAATTGAGTGTTCACCTGCTGGCTCAGAACCATTGAGTTTCTACATATCACAAGATCAGCTTTCCACTGTTGGATTTGTCTTTGGAGCAAAATCTTGTATATTGAGAAGCCTGAATACAATGCTGTGAGGGTACCTTACAATGGTGGCTGCATTGGTTTTTGGCTCCATATTTTGGGATGTTGGTTCACACAGGTAAATTTCTTCTCTGACCTCATTAACGAGTTATGTTCAAATATTTACATTTGATTTTTTTTTATCTTTCTCCTGTGATTATATACATAGAGGTGTTACTTCAATAAATAATGTTGTCAGGGACAAACTAAAGATTTGTTATGGATCTGCTATTTGTTTCTCGGGGAATAGTGCTAGAGAAGCAGTAATTTTACAAGAGAGCAGCTCAAGGAATGTACTCCCCCTTTCGCTTATGCAGTTGCCCAGTAACGTCACGATCCTGAAGTACATTCGCATATTATAGTTCTCTTGAAAGAAAAAAGTGAATGATGAAATCTCAATTGTCTTGTCAACAGGGTGTTGTGGAGATACCTACATAGCTGCGCAAACATTATATATGGCGTCATCACATATTACATGGTTATTTGAAAGAATTGCCAGTAAGATTCCAAATTCCAGGTTTATGTCCTCATTTTGTTTACTTTCATGGCTGCGTCTCTGTGAAGAGTGTTGTTTTCAAATTTTTTCCTTCTTTCTCCTATATTTTAACAGACTTTTCAGAGTAAAAACTTGGGTTGATTATTATATTGATTGTTTATGTTGTGCTACTGAAACAATGTTATGAAACTGCAATTTTTAACAAACATTTCTTTGTGTTTGCGGAAAATTGTTCCTCTACCTTGTCTTCATGTTTCTCACCTTCGCCTACTTTACCTTTACGGCATGATGGCAGTTGGTCCACTCCTAACCAAAACTTGCAGCTGTGGTATCTTCTCATTTACTCTATATGGAACCTATTTCGCGTTTTCTTGTAACAAAACCTGCAAGTAATACCTCTCACAAACAAGTTTTTACTTGAAAATTTATACACCTAATTGTTGTAGCCAATATTTCTGGAATGCATGTGGCAGAGCCTATCGTACTGTAGATTGATTAGTTTTTGAAAGTGTTTTAAATCATTCTTTGATTTAACCAATTTAATGGTTGTCGTATGCTCTCCATCAGAATATTCCGGGATGGTGGATCTGGTTCTACTACATGTTCCTGTTCATGGACTCTACAAGGTATCATCACCTCTCAACTTGGAGATGTGGAACCATGATTGTGTTCAAGGCACTGTTAGAATATGGAGTTAGTCTAGGCTACGGCCCTGGAATGACGGAGTTTCAGCAGAAATTGCATCATATTCTTCCCAGAATCGATAATGCAGAAACCACATATTAAAAAGTACCATATGATTGGCATGTGACTGATGGAACTGAGGATAACTTCTTCAGGTTGAATAAAAGGCACGTCTGAACTGATCATCAGGTTCAGGCACGACCAATTTTGTATGCCTCAGGAGCCTTCAAGATGTCTCTGGTTCACTAGATAATCGGCTGCAAGTGAGAACGGCCAGGTTCGGCTCGACTTTTGTCGAGCCGAGCTACGAACACCCACTAGTTCGGCTCGATAGGCCGTGAATGCCTCGAAAGGGTATAAGTGCTATTTTTTTAAGTATCAGGGTGACATGCAATTCCTATATCCAATAAAATTATCCCCACTTCCTAAACCTATCTTCTTTCTCCAGCCGCCACTTTCTCCTCCTTCTTTCTTCATCTTTTTTCTCCTCCATTTTCCTTCTTCTTACTTCTCCTCGCTCTTCCATCTCTTTCTTCTCTCCCTCTTTGCTTTCTTTTCTTTTCTCTCCTCTTTCTTTTCTTCTTCTCTTCACAGTCGATGGAATTTTGAGTCTATATTTGTGGCTATTTGGCTTTGTTTGATGATTGGTTGTGATTAGTGGGTTGGCTTGTATTGGGGCTATTTTGAAGTTGTTGATGGATTGCTTTTGGATTGAGGACTCCTAACGAGCGGTTCGCGAGCTAATTCGAGCTCAAAGTATTTAACGAACTCGAGCTTCAAGCCTGGTTTTCAGAGCTCCCATATGTCGATTAACACAGCCAAGCTTCGACACCATAGTGTTCGCTCGGCTCGTATATAGCCCTAGATAATCTAACTTCACATCCATATAAACCATAATTTTTTTTCTTTTTTCTTATCACACACCCCACCCCACCACACATTTTGAATCAAAGGGATTCCCTTCCAAGAGGGATTTGATCTCTAATTCTTCCATTACACAAAAAAAAAAAATTGTTAACATGTAGGGTAGAACAATATAAACATCAATTTTGCTACACATGCACTTTGATTTGCTACTAACACATCTCTAATTGATGAGTGATCAAAGTATTTTACACGTTTACTTGTTATTTGTTTTAGTTTATAATTATATATTAAAAAAATATAAGAATAAAATGGTTTAAAAAAAAAAAAAGAGATTATGATACCACAAGGGTATTACTTCAAATCACCACTAGGTGGTGTGATAGTAAAAAAACAAAGAAAAATCTAAATTTACATGGTCTTCTGCGTTCAAGCCTTCAATTAATAGAGGTGACCATTAGACTCTACCTAATTGATAATTCAAAATCTCTAGAATTAGTTAAAATGCTTACAAACACCCGAATACCCCTAGTCATCAACAACACCAATAAAAAAATAAAAAACAAAACAACAACAAAACAAAAACACAACAAACAAAAAGGTACCACGTCACTTATATTACTGATGTTTCACCATATGCCATTGTTTAACAAATGCTGTTGCTGCTGACCGTGCTGCTTCTGGTGGCGCTGAGGTTGAACAATTGTTGCTGGGGTTGAATTGGCGGTTGTGCTGAACTGTTGCTGTTGATGGGACTGTAGAAGATTGTCTCTTGAGGACAAGGGGAAGAGAAACTCACTTCTTCTGATTGATCAATCGTGGGGCTTTATGTGCCACCCTGTGGTGCCCCATGTAAATTCGACTGATACCTATCAATGGGAGCTGGTTTTGGACATGGGCGACTGCAAGCTCACTGACTTAAAACTAAGATTATTTGTATTGCTCCAACGATGTTACACACAGAAAGTTCCCAGTCCCAAAGTTATCAGCATTGTTCATGCCATAACCGTCACCTGATGAATAAATTGTTGTTGTAAAATGCCGTCTTATGCAAAGAGTAACCTCAGCTTCTAAAGTTAACATAAGCAATAACATATTCAACAAAGAAAGAAACAGGCAGACAAGAGAGAGATATGTTACCCTGCATTAGTGGTCGCTGATGATCAAAGTGCTGCTGTAAAGGTTTGGGTGAATTCATAAGGGTGGTCGTTAATAGCCCTAGAAGTGCCAGGTTCATTCACAAGTGGTAAATTGTTCCCAATCATCCCTAACCCACCATTTAGACCCCATTAGAGAACCCATAAGTTTTATGCTGCAGGCCAGACCTTATACCACTACCCATTGGCTGCCAAGGTTGTGCAATATGCGGCTGTTTTGACCACCAACTGCTGCTTTTGTCTGTTGCTGTGATACCATTGTAGATTCAACAGTTGAAAACCCACCACCATATTAGAAGATTCCAATTCTATATAACGGATTACTGCTACTACTACTACGTTGTTGTTATTATTACTGTTAAATCCGAGTGAATCATTTGACTTGTAATCCTCTGGGCTCCCATTGATGACATGTTTCCACCAGAACCAATGGAAAAATTGCAGGTGATTGTTGTATCCATTAGACAGAGCTCCTGCAGAAGTAAATTATGTAATGCTGGCATAAAAGGAAAAGTAATAGTACTATTAATAAATAAAAATCAAATATACCATCGGATCTATTGAAGGAACCACTCTGTAAGCCACCGGACAACAGGCTTCCTGTGTTGACAGTTGTGTGCTATGGTATTACTTCCACTGGCAGCAATCACTGAGCTATCTACAGAGGATGTAACCATCTTGATGAATTCACGTTGTGACATCCCAGGGTTGGTATCATTGTACCAATGGAAGAGGAAAATTTACAAGCTGTTGATGCCGCTGATTATGTTATTGCCAGATCTTCCTTTAATCAGACACTCAAACGAAACTCTAATGTCTCCAAATTCATTAATCTTCCTACATAGGGTTTGCAGATGTATAACAAGACATAAGATTTAATTGTCACATAGAAATATTCTTAAATATGAATTGCAGATGTTTAACAATTAAATTAATTGTTTCATACAGAATAATAAGCTCTTGATAACAATCCTAGAAATGATATACCTCCGCTTCGATTTGACAGAATTCAATATATGGATAACAACATTCTTTATTCTCAAACAAAACTTAAGAAATTTATAAATTAATAGCTGAGATTATTTTTTCTCAAATAAAAAGGAAAGAGAAAAAGAAAAAAACTTGTCAGAGCAGCTTTAATATACCTCCCTCTAAGCGTTTTAAATATCCCTAAACCTCGCTCTTGTTGCTTCATCATTGGTGGTCTGGCGTTGCAATAGAATTGAAAGCTGGAAAGAGTGAAATAAAATTCTGTTCATTAACTGTCACAAAAATTTTAGTAATGCCACTTTTTCCAAACTTGTATTCAATTGGACAATACTTTTGACTACCATAGAGATGATACAATAATGTCCAATTATATGACAGTCCTCCGTCTATCCTAAATAATATAATGCATTAATGAGGTGACACCACTTGAATTAAAAACTTTATCAGAGTGTATTATTTTCTCCTTCCAATAAAATTTTGATGGATCAGAGAATTAGTTAAATTTCTTTTGTCCAAAACAATTAGTTTCTTGGTTTATCATAACAAAATAAAGCAGAACCAAAATGTTCCACAGCATTGATTCACAAGAAAATAAAAAATTTCATCTTCCCCCTCTTGTATATGTATTATATTCAAATATAGAAAATAAAAATGATAAAATGTTAACAATATGATTCTACATAATAGCACCAAATAGTTGCAGACTAGTATTACTTAATAAGATTATCTTTTTAAAATAGTGACCATCAATAATAATGATGGTTCTAAGTAAATCTCCCAATTCCCAGTCCATTAGAAAGCTAATTGTAAAAGATGAAAACAAAGACCTGCTTACTCAAAGAACCCAATAATTATGATATCATATAAGATGTTTAACCTTATTGTTTACTTACAACATTCATCCTAGTCCAATGGATTCTGATTCTAAAAACACAAAGATACCACATAAACATAGGTGCTTCACACATAAAATATGAAATACATGCATAAACCGTGTGAGTCCTAAGGAAAGCAAAGATTAACATACGACAACCACTGCAGTTAAAAGTCATCAGATTAGAATTAGTGGGGCAAAGTAAACTGTTTCATAGATTCAAGCAATTATTGAAGCATCCATTTACCCATTAGATATCATTGCCACCAAAAAAAATCATAATTAAATATGTTACTACTGAAAACACAAATGTCCAGCTGGAAACATATATTTTCTAACTTCAAAAAAATGAAGGTTTCTGCTCTTCAATTTACAATATTGCTTGTAATTATGTAGTTAAAAGAATATTGCTTCTAAATTATCTCATTCTAATGAAATTTATTTCCTTCATTGGTGGTAAAAGCAATAACTCATATGAGAAATTGTAAAACCTAGAGTACCCAACTTCACACAACAATTACCTTATCACAAATAAGAGGAAACAAGGGAGGAAAAGAGAAATAAATAACATACTACCAAAGAAAAAGAATAATGCAGCTCATAGAATTTGGGTTTATGTTATTTTGTTTCTTTTTTTTCATGTTTTGTTTCACTTCCTTTTTTTCGAGTGTACTGCTGGTTCACCACCTTTATATTTTTTCTCACTACTAACAAATGTTGTTCTATATTTTTATCAAAAATTAAAATAAAATAATGAGAAATAAAAAAATATATGTAACCCAATCCCCCATCCAGTTCATGAAGCTAAAGCATAACAATAATGGATAAAAAAAAACTTGACTTACATCCTGTCACGCATAAACCCCGAGCTCTGAGTAGCTCAGAATCCACATTCAGCCTATTATGCTGCGAGAAACCCAGCAACACTACACCACCACACCACCAACTAAATTTTGCATTTGATTAGGTGGCAATGTGTTCCCATTTTGCTGCGGCAGTCCCCCTTGATAGGAACTTGCCCCGCCGAATATTGCCTGTACATTCATATTCTTCTTCTTTGCTCTTCTATTCAACAATAATTACCGAATAACTCAACCACAACTATCCAAATACAGGATCACCCCCCATTCACTCATCTCTCTCTCAGTATTCACAAAATCTAAGATGCCCAAATACCTACACGTACAAGTGAAAAAATGATTAATGAACCTCAATTTGAAAGATACGATACAATTGCATCAATTGAGCAAGCAATTGATGTAATTTGATTAGGGTTAGAAAATGGTGAAGTGGATCCTACGCTAATTGCGGTAACTAAAAATCGATTAGTTAAACCCTGCTTCTTAGGTCAAGTCGATTAAGAATAGAAACAAACCTGAATTGGGGAATATTACAATCAAGAGCAGAACCGATCGAAGCCGTACGGTCGCAACTAACGACGATGATCGACGATTTAGTTGGGAAAAGTAAAATATAGAAGAAGATAAATAGAGAAGAAAGATTAAGTCACCGCTTCATCGCACTGCCAAGTAAGATCTCGCACTGGTAATTTACAAAACGGAGGCGACCACAAGGAGAAGCTGATTATGGTTATGGCAATACGATTTGGTAATGGATCGACCAAGATGAGAGGAATATTAGTCAAAAGCACAAATCGAATTATATTGAAGAACATTTAACTCCCGGACCTCCCTGTTTGCACTTAAGAAAATGACCTCCGAAATTCTTTGTGAATTTTTCTGTAATTTAGAAAATCTATCGGGGCATTATTTTTTTTCATTAAACATGTAAATAGGGTACACGACATATTCCCCCTGGCTTCTGACTCATTGGCCGCATAGTCAATCGCTGGCACCGTTAGGCCTAGGTTTTGATGTTTCTTCGTCGGATTCCGATCGTTCTGGCGGTGAAATCCATTTGGGCCCCACCACTCTCCTAATCTTATAAAACCTTATTTCCCCCGCAACCATTTCATCGTCATTCACCGTTCCCGAGAGTTCGTGTTTTCTCGATTTGTCTTTTGGTGAAGTGGTGGACGACAAACGGTGAGCTGGTCATGGCTTGGAAAGGTTAGGGGTTTTGTAGGAGGCTGCAAGAAGTCAAATGTGGTGGTGGTTGGGGTTATCGTCGTTCAAAACAGTCTAAAGCCGGCAAGAACCAGTCGCCTGCCCCGACGCCTTGGCCGGCATTGGCGAGTGATGAGGGTTTGTGAAGGGTATGGTTTTGTAGAGTAGGATTGGGGGGTCACATGGTGGTTGACAAGGGTGATGGAGACTCGCCGGAAAAAGAGCGAAACATCGGGAACCCTCTGGCTAACGTGCGCCGGAGACTGTAGCGGCGGTGGTCTGCTAACGTGCGCCGCCATGTAAATGACCAAGTTACCCCTTTAATCGTTATATCAACGCTTTTCATCACTTTAAGGGTGGGAATCTTGAATAAATGTACCTGGCCACCTGGGGTAGCCAGCTTGGTTCATCAAAAACTGTGTAGACTATGTCGTTTACTCAAATGTAAAATAGTTTACACTGAAAGATTTAACCTATTGGGTAAAATCCCTACTTAACAAAAGTTTTACAATTTTGAAATTTGAAAATGACCCCCACCCTTCAAAATCGCTTATCGAGCGGATTTGCCAAAACGGACCGACGAAAACGTTCGTTTC